TACACCAAATAAATAAATAAAATAAAACCTTTCCTTCAGAAACAGAAAATATGACAATAACTTTTCCCAATCCAAACACACTATCATCAAATCCAACATCAAAAAAATCTAAACAATAAACATTCTAGATTAAAAATGTTTTTTCTAAAGATCAACAGAGTTAACACATGCTACATACCCAGGTGTTCAATGATATCTAAATAAACATCTTACTACTATTTCCTGAAAACAGTTTATACAGTTATTGTACTGAAAATCTGGAACCTACAAAACCAACTTGTAGATCCTGTAAAGGACTTTAAAGGTTGATAAAACCTTTCAATTATTGGCACAATACTGGAAACTGGTTTAATTTAGGGTGTTATACTTTTAAGAGCCCTGAATGATACGATATATGCAAGTATTTGAAAATGGTTTGTTGTTCTTTTCTTCTCCTTAGCTGTTTTGCCAGATCATGTCGTAAATTCCTATGACTTTTTCCGACTTAGTTTTTATATTTACATTAAGATATTAACATCAATAATATAAATAAAAGGCTGCATTAAGTAAGACTAAAATGATCATGTTTTAAAAGTGTTTAAAGTGAATAAGGTGCAGCATAAAGTCCATATTAGCCACCCAATTGCTAATGCTGCACTGCTAAAGAAAGGTCGTGGAACGCAAAATTCCCGAGTTAATAAATACCATATGAAAATAAGTTACTAGTTGATAAAGAAACTATTTAACAATAATTCATAAAATAATGTATAGGATATAACGATGTAGCTAAAAAAAAAAAGAAGTTGCTTAGCTAGCTAGCTGGCCCGTTATGAGGTGGAAATTAGCCAATTATGGCAAAAACAAATAAATCAGCTCACCGGGCAAACAGAGATATCTGTTGTTAAATGTAGTCCTTTCAAGCTTTCATCGAAACATTAAAATCCGCTGTTGTCAGTTTTGGGATGTTCTACTTTGCTAATCCGACTATTTTCCGGCTTCTGACAGCTGGTTTCCGCTATCATCACCAAACAATAAAAAATCCAGCAATTATGGGAACTTGCGCCCCTAACGGTAAGGCGTAATTATGTTGAACAACTAGGGTTTTCCCTTGACCTGGACTGTGTTTGTCATTGACATAAAGTTTGTCATAATCACTTTGAGTTGTTATGTTATAAGTTGAATTACAAATATTAGAAATATAAAGAAAAATCTAAATAAGTTTATAAAATGTTAATGTAACCTTTGCTGTTTTTTATAAGGATGTTTAAGAATATTTGTAAATAAAGTGAATTCTACAGCCAAATATTATTACAAGAGTCAGCTTATATTCGCTTTATAGTTTTAAAATATAGCTTAGTAAATATTTAGATGTGTTATTTGATATTGTTTTTTAAACATTAACATATGCCAGCTTTAAAACAATAACATTTTCAGATATATTAGGCAGTGTTTTGCTAATGATCTGTCATTAAATGCATTTATTTGTATATAGTAAATGATCATTTAAACTCATAGGTGTTTGGGTTTGTAAATCCCAAGACAATCTAATTTATTCATCAAATAGATATTGGTCAGGTTGTTCCAATTTTTATAGCTTTTAATAGCTTTGTAGTTATGTAAGGGATAATAATAAGCATGGGACAGGAGATGCTATTGTGAGCTCATTTAGACCACACCCCATTTGACATTAATCTCGATTGAATGCTCTTTGTTTTAAGACATTTGATCAATTGACATTGATTTCTTTGCCAAATTTATGTCAATTCCATATTTCATCAAATATTCCCTCATTATGTGATTTTCTCAAAATTGTATCAATTTATTTTGAAGTGCATCAGTCCCTCTTGCAAAAATCTACTCATTTGGAAAGTTATGTCGGGCGTATTCTTAAGGGACGGGATGGTGCCCTCATGCCAGCTGCCATCTGAACCCCCCAATCATAACTGTGACGATTATTAACCAAAAACTTTTAGTTTAATCAGATTACAAGACATTTATACCCCCCCCCCAAAAAAAAAATAAAATAAAATAAAGTACAATGATATTCAAGTAAAAGTTTTCTAAGTAAAACCAGCTGATTGCATCAACTCATTGACTCCTATTCAAATTTATAAGAAAATAAACTTAGACAAAACAATGTTTAGTAAATCATACCCCAATATATTAGTGGTGAAGTTAACACTATAGCAGTTTATGTCTAAATATTTAGCTCTACATGATTTTAGCCTACATTATTAAATATTTTGTCACCGATATATAACTTCTATTTATGCATGTTATAGTTAAATCGAACCAATAAATAGCCACTCTTTTTATTTTACTTTGAAACATGGAACATCTGCTTATATTTATTGTTTATTGAGGATACCCATTAACTGTAGTTTAACACTTTTGCTATTCCTTATGGGGTCCATACCAATATTCATGCAAGAAAAGAGAATTAAACAAATAACATCAACTTAATATAGAAATATAAAATAATAATAGAAATACAGAAAGAGAAATAAAACAATAAATGAAAATGTACTTAAAAATCCACTATGCTGCTTTAGTCAGTTTAGGTGCTCCATACTACAAAACTAACATAACTTAAATTTAACAAATCTCCCTACATTACTTTATCAATATACTACAATAGATAACAACACTGTTTTTTATTACATATTCACACACATTGTAACATAATAGTCACTAATGATCCCATTAATTCTTATATACTATTTTAACAATTGCCCATTATTATCTAATGTGTACATACATACATGCATGTACGCAGAAATGCGTAACCAATAATAGTTTTTTTCATACAATCTTAAAAATGTGTATATATATATATATATATATATATATATATATATATATTGCTTTATATATATATATATATATATATATTGCTTCAATAACACTTTATCAAGAGCATTTTTATCTATTGCATTGTTTAAAAGGAACTACTGTATATGTCTGACTTCTATCTATTGTGTATCTCTAAATTATTAGGTATAAAAACTGCTTAAAATGATTGATTAAAAATGTTTGTTTACAGTCTCTACTTTTAACTTTAAAGTTAAAATTTTATATCCTGTTTATAAGACTGCAGGAATTTGAATTCCTTAGTGTTGCAGCTTCTGGAAAGGATAGCTCTGTAATTAGCCGAAGGGCCCATCATCCGCAGGCGGCCAATCAGGTGACGGACGGGAGGGAGGGAGGCTGTTCCCGGAGCGGCTGCCACCCGGCCTGGCAATCAGTCGCACGGGACACCGAGCCCCGGTCGGCCACCAGCTCAGTCCCGTGGCGGTGACACCTCTGACAGCGGCTCCAGACTTCACCACCTCGTTTCTTCTCACCAAGGTCTTGAAGCTTTTCTTACTTTTATCGATGTTCATTAACTTTAAGACAAAGTTGGGCTCAGTGTGTATTTTGTGTATTCTGATTGTGAGATGACTTTAAATCAAGTTAGGCAGGACGCAGAATTGTACTTCCGGTCAGGGGTTTCAACTCTATTTCCAACCTGAGTTAAAATAAGCTTCTATTGTTTTATTCTGAAGGGACTTTTACCTACTTCCGGTTCGCTAAGCGCTTTGTTTTAGTGAAATGTTTGAGCCGTTGGGAGGATTTATCTACAAGTAGCGTAAGGAAACGATACCGAAACTAGATAATGTAGCTGATCCTAGGGGGTTCATTTTTAATCCGAAGGTTTTGCCTCAAATTAAAAAAATAGAATAAATACGTGGGAAGTTAGAGGAAAGCAGCCTGGTGTCTTGTGGAGGTTGTGGAACTGGAGTGACAGCGTTACGTCAGTTTCCCACATCAACAAGTGATCGATACAATTCAATGAGACTTTTCTCCTCCGGAATATTAAATAACACTTAATCGTATCTGCATATTTTGTTGCAATCTTTTGTTATAACGTTATTATAACCTTTTTCATCTGTCAGATCTCGCCTGTTTAAACTAAAGCTGCCGGATCAGGGTGTGTCCCCCCCAAGTCCAACACAGTCCAGATCTTTCTCTGTAACCTACAATTGTATCATATTGAATAAAGATGCTTTTGAATTGATGAAAAACATTAAAGTTTCCATGGTTCTAGTCTTCTACTGTTTTTAAAGGGCTGTATAAATAAATACAATGAAATTAAATATGATTAATGAATTGCCATTGGATATATAAGGAGCTAAGATTGATCAAGTTAGTCAAATTAAGCTTTTGGATTTTATTGGTCATGAAAATATTTCCTGCAAATTTCTAAAGTAGCTAAAATAAGATTATTTGAACTGAAAGGCCCTTTATCTATTATATATTTCTTTGATTTTCTATATTGGACTTATTGTATAGAAATATGGGGAAATATTTATAAAACACACATAAGGTTTGTTAAAATAATATTTTACTCATTGAGTTACAAATATTAAAATTTGATGATTTAACTGATTACAGTTCTGTATATTGAAATTGATTTACCAGCTTCATAAGACAGGTGTTGCAATATTCACAAAAGATTTCAGAAAAGGCAAAGTAAATATAATTTAAAAAGATTTGAAATCTTTATAAAATCAAGGTTCAGAACTTAAGTATTGGAGTGATGTGCTTCTGTTATGGAATCCCTTTATGGAAAAATGTGGATAAAAAAAAAAAAAAAAAAGCTAAATCTCTTACTGTGTTTAAAAAAACATGTAAGAGACACAATGAAACAAATGAAAAAAAGATTAAACTTGAAAAATGTTAACAAAGCTCATGTTTCGGTATTTATTATGCAAATATTATTGGTTTAATACGTTTTGTTTCTTCATTCTGCTCCCTCTCATTATGTTTAAATAAATAAATAGATATCAGATTTGTTTCCGTCTTAAGCTAGAGAACGTCTACAAGAAATAACAGACTTGTTTATGTTTACAGACAGTGAAATGATTAAGTCCGCCATATTTGTTTTGTCATTATCCAAAATGATAGTTGGCGAAACAAATATGTTTTTTGACTTTATGAAAGATGCAAATATCTTGAGGCATTCTTCTCAGTCCGTATCATCTCAGTTACAGCAAACCTGCAGGTTTACTGTAACTAACTGACATCACTTTGTCATCAAGCATTTTTTATTTTCTCCTAAAATACTTTACTACCTTTTCTCATATTAAGCTGTTATGTGTTTTATATTCCTGGTGCATTTGGTACCTTTTTTTTGCTATTTCTTTTTTTTTTTGTTTATCATCCCAGATGGCTGAAGTGGAGTTGGCGAAAAGGACCCTTCAGGCCATTATCCAGGCCAACAGAGGTGGAGTGTCCTTGTCCCGCCTGCAGTCGGAGTACAAGGAGCTAACAGGAGAACAGATCCCGCACAGACAGATGGGATATAACCACCTGGAGGCTCTGTTAGCCAACATGTCCTCTGTTCGCATGGAGAGGAGAGGTTCTGGAGAGGCGAGTGACACCAGAACAGATGAGTATCTATAATTCGATAAAGTTAATCTTGATGTAAACATTTACATCTCTTCCTCCAGATGTTTTATGCTTCTTCTGGTGCTAAGGAGGGAGGACACACAGCCAAGGTGGTGGCCCGACAGCGAAGCTCCAAGAAAACAGGCAGACACCACATGGTCAACACCCAGATGAGGGTTAAACCGGCTGTTCCTCTAGTCCTCAATGGTAAGATTTTGCCAAACTGTTATTTATCCAAAACTGTAAGTTATTAAATAAATAAATGCTACAGGACACTTAAAATGCTTGACATTAACCTCCAACCCATAAAGCATATCCATTAATAGCTTTCAGTAACAAACCCCCTAAACACCAGATGTCATTTAGACTTTGGTTTTTAGGCTAAATCTGGTTGGTCTGTCTTAGACTCAATTTAGTCCAGAAATTTGGGCAAGGTTTTTGTCGTGTTGAAAATTGGGCTCTGATTGGTCGGTCTGATTTTGTCCCACTTTAGTCCAATAATAGATGTTGAAAACCCAGTTTTCAATGTCTTTTCAATGACCAGAAAATTGCGGCTTTTCAGCTTTCACTTTTCAACCAAAACCAAATGGATATAAAGTCATCTTTAAATGTCTATTCAACCAATTTTTGCTCGGTGGGTAAAAAGAGCTGAGTTTGTGTTTGAGGGCAGCAACAGACCCAATCATTGTTCACACGTCAGTATAATATAAGTGGCAGCAGTTAAGTGAGTGCACTTAAAATATTAGCACTTCTACAAATGGCATCCAGCCTTGTAACATTTAGCAGTTTTGACCTAACAAAGATGACATGTGGCTCACAAATGAGTCCATCCTAGGCTCCTTTTTATTTAATCCTGTAGAATTCCCATAGTTCAAATCCTAGATCATTACAACACCTTTAACCACATGTATGCTGAGCAGAGTCCTGCACCAGGTTGGGTTTCCGTATAACACGTACATCTACAGGTAGAAAATACTCCGTGTATTTCATGGGTGCAGGCACAGGTATAAATGAACAAAATGCTGGTATGATAGAGTTACAGCATGAATTATGCTTATTTCTATTTTCTTATTTATTAACTCTACATCTTAGAAAATACATTTTTTAGAATATCCAGATAACAGTATTGTAACAGCGCCCATACAAAGTCCCGTGAAACTGGGTTTTTATTCCAAAAACACGAGTTGCCATTTTCCGAGGCTGCAACTGCCACCTCTCAAAGGATCTTCATTCCTTAAACTTCCCACCTCTAACGCCCAGAACCTCCCACTCCTGGTCCTGCTGCACTGCCAGTCTCCCACCCATGTGACCGACACTACCACATGTGAGCGAAACTAATATGGGCAAAAATAAGAACATTAAATATAACAACGTCAACCCCAAAACAGAACCATAACAGTATTTTTTCAGCAACAAGACAAACTTTCTTACTTCCGCCAATTCTCAGCTGTTAAGCTGTGAATGCAGATGGGGATAATTGCGGGTCATGGGTCGGGTCTCGGTTCTGGGCTCTAAGGTTGGGGGCAGATACAGTTTTGAAAAATCAGACCCGCTCAGGATTCTGATGCTCATGACACAAAACTCATATTCCTTCATCACCAAATGACCACCGTTGTGTTTTTTTGTTTTTTTTTTGTTTTTTGCTTTTTTTTACAAACTGAACATAATATTAATCGGCAAACTGGTCAAATGTTGGTTCATCACTCAGCTACTCCCAATGAGGCTGAACACAGAAGAGGATACATATGTGTTAAACAAGCTGATCTTCTATTTCATGATTCAGGAGAGCTTGCATATGAGCTTTGGTCAAGAGAAAATGTTTAAAAAGCCAGAAACTGCAATTCAGG